TTCTTAAGATGCTAATACAGCCTCTGATTGGTTTATGTGGTTATGCTTTATGTCATAAGCCTTGGCCCAGATCTACAATAAGCCTTAAGTCATAAGAAATTGACCAATTATAGTCAAATATTCTTTTCGCATTCGATTGTAATTGGTCAATTTCTTATGGCTTAAGACTTATTAAAAAATAATCAATTGATCTTGTATCTTCTTGATGTGCTGGCTGTTTTTTTAAAGTTATATAACTTATGTAGTTATATCGTTATGTGTTATATACTTATATCGCATATGAATACAAATTAAAAATTTAATTTACTTAATAATCTATATTGTAATTATTTAATTTCATTTTAAGAAAAATTAGGATATTATGATCTAAAAAATAATTTTTTTCAAAACTTTTTTTTTAACTTAAGTTAATTCAATATTGACTTACGTTAAATTAATTTTTTATTCCTTCAACTTTTAACTTAATTTTATTAATTTTATTAATTTTATTAATTTTGTAAAGCCATTAACTTTAACTTTATTCAGTTAAAAAAAACATTAACTTATCCAACCCTGATAACAAAATACAAATACTTTGCTCTTGTATTCTTTGTTTAATTTGTTGTCTTGTATATCCGACTTGTTTAAGATATATGGCATTTTTAAAGCAGGATTTATGTCCAAAACATAAAAAGTGCGCAAATTGAATTCAGTGCACTAAATGCAATAAACGCATTACATGAAATATGTATCTCACGTCATAACACTTGTAATACATCTGAGAAGATTGTAATTATTATCTATTATTTCATATACATATTTATGATTCTTATTCCTTAATAAAACTTTATAAACGCATTTTATAAGTTATCGTATCATTTTACATCTTATTTATATGTAAATTTTATTAAATTATATGTAAATTTTTTATGAGTCATACATACTCCCCCCTCCCCCTAGAAGTAACCATATATATCCCACTCCTATAAGATATTCGGCAAAAATGCAAGGGTTTAAAAAAGTTCATTTTTTAATACGAAATATAAATATTTCAAAATATAAAGATTTCTAATATTTTTTTTTATAATATTAGACAGTACAAAGTTTTGACTGATCAATAGTTCGTTTACTTGAAACATAGTAAATAATACTTAATAAATTAAGTTTTTGATGCGGCGTAAATATTCAAAATTACCTTATATCTTTATCTCAATAATTAGTATTTATAAATACTGAATGAGAGGCTTATAATTTAAGCTTTTTTATTAATTCTAATGATGTTGAATTAAGACAAGAAAGAACTATTTTGAAAGAATTAGTTATATTTTTTTTTTACTCCAATTTACTCTTGTAAGTCTATTCCTATGATAATTTTATATTACTAGGCTAACTTCTTAACTGAAAAGCAGGTTGAAGAAGTAGATGTCACGTTCACACTATCGCGCGATATTTCTACCTAAATATTTTACGTGTATATGGTCTAGTGCACGCTAAATATCGAGCTACTAGTTGAACTACTAGTTAAATTCAACTACCGCTAGTCCAGATGACCTCTAGACGAGGGACTATACCTACCGACTTGTTTGCCGAGCACTGTCTTTAACGAGCTTTATTAATGATAATCGATTCGCGTACTTGTAGAGCGTAACGATTGATCATACGAGGTCGATGCGCCGCCGTTGAATACTATCGCGACTGCTTTGTCCATAAATCGTTCTCAATAGAAAGTAATAATGGCGCTCTATCGTGTCTCCATTATTTAGCCTCTTATAACGGCTGCCGGCCGCGATCTCTCATATAGCCGTACATTTTCGATATCGGCTTAATTTGCTTTCAGTCTGGATATTTTCTAGAATCGAAATATGTGATACCTAACTTCTCACAAGTTTTCTTGTAATTTGATCAAAAAATTGACCGTTTGAGAATCTTCTTTAGAATATACTTATTTATACTATTTAAATTTTTGTGAACTTATTTAAAGAATATAGAAAATGCCTGTAATACCATTGATGAAATTATTATTAATTATGTATAATATTTATTTTTAGCGTTCTTTATGTGGAAAAAATAAGTATAAATAAATATCATATATTTAGTATTTGTTGCAAATTTTTTTTGATAAAAATTCGAAATTTCGAAAATTTATTTATTTAAATTCATAATGAATACACAAAACACATGCATACCTAAATATGTAAACTAAACATACATTTCTCGTTTCTTTTCTATATTATATTTAATAATCATTTATAACACGATAGAAGAATCGACAAGAACTACTCCTCATTTTTTGTCCCATTCTCTTCTCATAATATTGTTAGATATATCGCAGGAGACGCGCAACGAGACCCACCAACGAGCGTGACTCGCTGAGGTAGTCCTTATTAAATCTTCCCCGTCTCCATTAGAGGCAGAAATTACGGATAATCCTTTTTATTACGCACGCTACACGGACTCCCATGGAAAGAGAGCGCAGAAAGGCAACCGGTACGTTAAAGAAAAAAAGTCGGGATGGGTCGCGGCCACGGTTCGACGCGGCATGGTGGTCCGCGCTTCCCATTCCCGACAACAAAGCGCTTTTAAACAATCTCCATTGTGCTCGTAATCCCGAGCCATGCGTGAAATCAACACGTTTTTCCACTTAATTGACAAACACACGCCTTTCCGTCCATGTGTTCCCGGCGAGCGCCCACCAAACATGACTTGTATCGTAACATATTTCAAATATATAACGAGTAATATAACAATGTTACTTCCAACTGAATTATTTCAAGCCGAAACGATCACATTTTACAGTAGGGAAAATCCTTTGCTTTTAGACGGCTTGAGATATGTTATGCGCTACAAGAAATTCTGAAATACTAAAAATAACTAAAAGATCTTAAGTTTGCTAAATTTGCAACAGATTTCGTAAGAGATGGGCAGAAACTAATTTTGTTTCTCTCACAATATAAGTTTCTTAAAATAAATTCCATTTTAATGATTCCTGCGTAAAATGTATGCCTTTATAAGAAATGAATACACTGAGAAAAAAATGTGCTGTTGATTCAATTAAAAGTCTATATTACGGGCTGTCACTAACATAAGTGATTAATTCATGTATATTTTTATTATATATAAATTATTATTTCAATAATCAAGGCTTTTACATCAATAAAAATATATACATATGAATTAATTACTTATGTTAGTGACAGCCCGTAATATAGACTTTAATTGAATCAATAACATTTGTTTCTCAGTGTAAGTAAGCAACTTAGAAAAATTATTTTGAGGATGATATATAGATACTTATAAAATTTATTCAGAAAAATTTATCAATTTACTTTAATTAAAATATAAATGATACAAAAATTCCTCAATAATGGTAAGGATAGAACATAAAGGGCAAGAATAAAAAAAAAACACTTATATGTATCACGTTATTCTACGTATATACAATAATTTATTTCGCTACGAATCGTTTCTACATTTACAAATCATTTTTGCTCGAGCGAGTACGAGTACAGAATATAGATGGATGCGACAATGCACGAACGTAACGAGCAGCCTCTTGTTTTACGGAGTGCAAGGCTTATAATTTAATCGACGGTACATTACGCAAAGAAATGCATTTAGTAGCATTCCACGAAAATCTGAATAATGATGCAGTTCCAACCTTTGCAGATTTAATATATCGACACTATATAATTGAACAGTTTCCATAGAAAAGGAATCAAATATCTCCGTGTCTATTTCGCAAAAGTAAAATATGTAGATTTTTTAAGAATTTTATTTAAAGAGAAGAGAATATTTGATAAAGTTTCACGTTATAAAAATTTACAATATAAATCTTAATCTACTTTTCTAAACCAACGGTTGGTTTTCTTAAAATTTAATTATAATAAGTTATATTAACCTATAAATATATATTTACATTTTTACAAAAAGACAGATAAATAAATAAAAATACGAGTAATGAATATTTGTTATTTGCTCATGGTTTCTCTGATTTATTATAAAAAATGAATGATACAATTTTTTCTGTATAAATATTCCTAAAATACGAGGAAAATAGTAATTCCATAAACTTCTAATTAATATTTAAGATTGGCATTTTTGATTCCTTTTGTATAAAATATTTCAATTAAATAGTTACACAACACAAAACCAACTTTGAAATTCATATTTATACATATATATGAATCTTAAAATTAGCTTTGCATTGTTAATTTTGTGTGCTAAACTTAACATCGGTATAGCTGTGCTCGCGCCCGCGTCTGCGCCTAATTGTTTAGAGATCGTCTAATTAGTTAATTACATAGGCGAAAGTCGCCGATTCGGGGTAGTTGACAATAATCGATTACCTATACGCTCTCTCGTACGGTAGCCGTAAATTACGAATAATTCTAGCTAACTGCTTGCGAACAGTTTATTTCGTAAGTTTAGAGACCAAGCGACTCTCGTCTGCGGCGCACAAGACGAAAACCAATATCAGCAAGCAAAAACCTTCGATTAGAGAATGGTCTTTACAAAACGAGGAACTAACGTCGATTATCTACGATGTCTCCCTACATCTGCATCAGTCTGCATCGTATCGATTCGCGATGAATTGGACCAAAAAAAAAGATCGCGTCGTAATCGAGCTCAAAAAACATCCACGATTATCTCGTTTGAATTTCGTCGTGTTACTACTGAATAAGATAGTATACAGATTTCAAGATATCAATAGTAAATAGCAATTCTCGCGGACGCGTTCTTATAAATACGTTACACCTTCGCTTATCTAACAGAATCTGATCGGAATTCTTCATATACATTACTAACGGCGATAATCGGAACTTTCTACTTCATACGTGAATGCTGTATTCTGATTTGGACATAATTTCCCGAAGGATACCAGGCAAATGAAGGTGAAATGTATATGCAGACGGCACAATATCCAGGGGACGTGGTAGAAGTGTCGAAAGCACACTCGGTATCTTTGAGCCTTTGAACATCCTTTAGACATCTTCAAGACGCATCATGAACTCTCACGTCGTTCGGCTAATCCCTTCGATAACGAATGATCGAGATAATGAAGAGAGTTCAAGTAGCGGTGCCATAAGACGGCCTCTGAATACCCGTGGTTGTGATCGACATCGAGTACCCGGCATAGAGCGGTCTTGGCACGAGGAGCGAGGATTTTTTCGCGATCGACTCAACTTCGGTCAATCTCGAAGCTTCCTCGTCAACACCAACACCGACACCACCACTACCACTACCACCACTACCACCACTACCACCACCACCACTACCACCACTACCACCACCACCACCACCACCACTACCACCGTCGCCACTACCCTCGTTGTTGTCGTCGGGTGCGATGATGTTCTCGATAGTGAATGGTTTCTTAACCCTCTTCTCTGTATTCGTCGTCAAAATGACCTGGTCCTCACGATTGGAGGGTAACTGAGTTCGCTCGACCTCCACTGCCAGGCTCGAGATTGGCGACAGGTGGCGATAGGATGACTTGGACGTGAGCGAATTCGGGGAGGTGGGCGACGTCGGTGGCGACGAGGTGGTAGTCAGGGCAGTGTTTCGATAGAGATTTATTCTGGACGATGAGGATGAGGACGAAGACGACGAGAGTGGCTCTTCTTCGGCGAGTTTGTCGCGATTGTAGCCCGAGATCTCATAAGTATTCTCACCCGTGAAAATCGTCTCGCTTTCTCTACCAGTAGCGGCGATTCCGTTCTCCAAAGCGCGGTCGCTCGACAAACGGCGCTCGTCTCGCATCTCCCGCGTCGGATGGATAGTCTGTCTACTGGCGGTAGTCTGCTGAATATACGGCAGCTGCGATACCGCGTACGATGGCGAAACTGCTGGAAAGCCAGAGAAATTCCAAGAAGCGGCAGAGTGCAGCAACGCAGCGGCCTCGTACGTTCTCAAAATCTCATTACTGCCATCGGTAGCACCACCCGCGAGTCTCTGTCTCACTTCGGGTGATAGTAAATAGTAGCCAGCGGTGACGGCTTCCGGCGCTGTTGGTCCAGCTGGTAAACCAGTAGTACCGTCGAATCGTCCGAAGCCGGCCGCGCCGGTGAAATCACCGTGATTCGAGGCTGTCGCGACCATCATTCGCCTCTCCTGTATCTCCCATCGGAGCAGGTCATCCCGTAGACGATGAAGATTCGCTAGGCTGAGACCGTTGCCGGGACATGCGCTCGCGTCGACAATTCCGCCAGTCGACGCGACTGGTTCCGGATGCGGCTGCGGCTGCGGTTGTGGCGGTGGCGGCGGCGGAGGCGGCGGAGGTGGTAACGGCGGCGGCATCGCCGAGGCGAGCGCCTGCAGCTCGGACTTGAGCAGCTCCTTGTCCGGCTTGTGCAATTTGAAGCGCTTCCGTCGGCGAAGGAGCGAACCGTTCTCGAACATGGACAATGCGGCGGGATGCAAGGCCCAATAGGCTCCCTTTCCTGGCCGATGTGGACCGCGTGGTACCTGAAATTCAGTCATCCGACTTATCAACTTGCATCGAATCACGGTGTAATATAGATACTCGATCTATGGAGAAAAAAATTATAATATCGCGCAGTGAAGTTACCAATCTCTTTTGAAAGTGTCCCACGACAATGTACTTACGTCCGAATCGATTAATTCACATATTTTTAACTATTTCAGATAAGAGTACGTATATCATTTCGTGGAAATAAAACAAAGATATATATATATATATA